AACACGTTAATTTTTTTAAAGACCCACACTTCAGTTGCTCAGCTGACATGAGCAGTCTGACATTCACTTTTCTAACAGAGGCTTTTTTCCTTGTGGTTCTATTAAAAGCTTTAGATTTGACTTTTTTCAACTACTCCTACTTGACAACACTTGGAAACCACCCCATAAATCACTGTCAGTAGAGAGTTTTGTTACTAGAGTGCTTAAGCCTCTCCCGTGCAAAACGCTGCACAGTTGAAGTAGGACCCAGATTCTCAGAGGCCAAAGTCAGTTTGAAACTGAAGAGCACCAAAATGTATTTAAAGACTCTGGCCCTACATCTCTACAAAGATTTTCCAGTGACATTCTCCTACCATTGTCCAACAAGGCCAAGTAGAAGCTCTCTACAAAAAGCTGTCCTGGTCTCCTGTCACCAAAAGACACTGGCAAACGAGAGGTGAAAAAAGTGCCTGCTTTGGGGCTATCCAGAAGTGTCTTGGTTGTCTCTCCTGAGTTCCAAATTATGCCAGGGAGATGACAAAGGAGGCCACCACCTACCCCTCTGTAGGCACTTTCCATGAGCCCATATGCTGCTGGAGACCTGGACTGCTCTCACTGTCAAATGTGCCACACATAGCTGGCCACTGTGGCCCAAGAGTCACTGCCATGAAAAGTCATTGCTTTCCAGTTACTGCACTTTAAAACAGTGTTTTCAGTTAACAGTTTGCATTTTTAGAAACAGGCTCCAATTCCCCTTTTTTTTCCCCACACTCCCCTTTCCCCTCCAATGGGAATATTAAGGAACGAGAATTCTTGTCAACAGAAATTAAAACTAGTAAATTAACAAGTCCACCTAGTGAAGCAGCATTGTATTTTCCTTGCTGGGGTCTTGAGTTCATGTTGCAAATTGATTTTGTGGTGACACTAACGCTGGCTAATCTAACTTGGGCAGTTATGCAAGGCCCAGTCCTTACAAAGCTAAGCCCAAGAACAGTCAGTGGGAACTGAGGGCAATCAATACCTTCGGAGGGCTAATCCTATGAAATGTGCAATAAGCAGCTCCCACTTCCCCAGATAGATACAGAAGCTTCAACACCAGCAAAATAAATCCTTGGTAAGAAGAGGCGAAAAAAAGGAAAGGAAAAGGAAAAAAAAAAAAAAAAAGTAGTGAGTTCCTGCTTTCAGCTAGTGCAAACTCTTTGAGATGATTTACCACAAAGAGAATCCTGCAAGGGCCATACATTCCTGTACATATAAATTTTTGGGTCAGAGCCAAGTGATCTGTCACTGCTTTTTGCTTAAGATAATTCCTCAGGTTTTGCTAATTAGGTACTAACAATTCTTTCAGATGATCTGTGTAACCCAGGGAAGAATATCAACAGTATGTTTTAAATCAAAGGGTTTACATCAGGAATGATTCATTCTTTCCATGAGGAATGACTTGTGAGACAGGCAGTCTTAGCACTACCATAAATCTACATGAAAATTAAAATTGTGGAAGAAAATAACAAAGGCAAGTTGCTATCCCCATCTTCCCTGCCTCAGCCACAACTCTAGAGACGGAATTTACATTAACAAGGGGCTCCAGCTAGCACTGGAATTAGTGTTTGAGAAAATCAGGATTTCAAATCCTTTTAAGAAACACTGTGATTAAGGTCAGTAACTCTGCTCTCCTCAACAAAGAAAAGGAGCTAACTCCAGCTCTTCTGTCATCTGTCCTAAAGCCTTTTTAAAGAAAAAAGTTTTTTAGAAGTTAAACAAACAAAACCAGCATCTCCCTCTTCCTTTGTGAGCTGTGTTTAAACAGTGATTAAGAAATCCATAACAAAAAAGACAGAAAATAAAAATTTCTGGTTTAGGCCTGTGTTTTCCCTTTTATCTGTTGGAGGATAGAAGGCTGTGAGCTTAGCATGGGACTGTATTCCCATTCTCAGTTGCTAAATGGTTGAGGGGCTCTCTGGTGGTGCAGAAGGGCCTCCAGCTCCATAGCATGTTTCATCCCAGCTGTTTGAAAAGCTGGTTCACTTGAAACACAACCATTAACCCCACCCACACTCTGCAGGAGAGCAAACTCCCCCTCAATGAGGGATTTCTTCCACATTTATGGTAACTATTATTACCAACATCTACAACATCAGTCATTTTAATTAGAAAAAAAATAAAACAAAAAAATCCTGCAATGCACAAACAGACACATACGTGTTTACATGTAAAAATGCAAAGCACTCAAGTTGTTTCTAATAACTGCAGCTCATGGAAGGGATATGTATTCTGCACAGAACTTACTTAAACACTCTTTTTCTTTTTTTGTCATAAAAACATACAGATGTCTTTCTTCAAAAAAATTTTTTTCCCTTTTCCTGTGTTACAGGAAGCCTGCCCACACTTTTAAATACAAAGTGGGTATAAATAGAAGCACAAATTAGGCATCTTGAAAAGTCTATATTTTCCAACCACAAGGAAACTAAGAAATTACTGTGAGTGTTTACACATCTGACTATGTTGAGTTAAAACATTTTCTATACATGTGCCCAGCAAAACTGGCAAGAAATTAAGAAAGGAAAAAATAGGCTCTCTGGTTCTTTACCTGTTGCTACAGTGTACATTATTCAGCCTTCTTCATATGGTCGACTAAAAGTGTCAGTCTGAATACAGTCGCCACTCTGATGAAAGCATATCTTACATATATAAATGATACAACTACTATGAAAATTTTAGTAAGACTGTCTGCTTTCCTATAAATCTAACTAGACATTTGTCTTTTTAGTTGTCTCTCTGTATCACAGCTATTAAAAGTAAATAAAAGCAAGATGGCTCTTTTTATGACATTAATAGCTTGAGGGACCTTATAAATCAGTGAATACAAATGTACTACTCATTACAGGAGAAGGAAGAAGGTCTGTCCATCTGATGCTTTCTGACTTAGATTTCTGCTTTAAGATCTTGTTGCTCATTTAAAATTAACTCATCTCCTGTTTCTCTGATGTCATATGGTGGGGAACTTTGGTGCTCTCTCAACTTCTGATATCAATGTTTTTCTAGTAGTCTAGAAAAACAAATGCTAAAAAAAAATCTAAAAATCTAAAACAGAGTCTAAAAAATGCTAGCCTAACTAGCTAGCATTAATGGTCACAATACAGACACAGTAGCTTCATTAAATCTTGACAACTCTTGTCAAAAGGTGAATTTGAGAAAATAAACCAAAATAAACTCATTGCAAACCACTCAGACACATCCTGACTGACCAGTTCTTTTTCATCTGTCGGAACCTTCAGTAATTTCAGTAACGCTTTGAACAAAATTTAAGGGGTGAGCTGGCAGCTGGTCAGATGGTCAAAATGGCAATCTTTCCCACTAAATTCAGCATAACGTTTGTTGGTTTTGAGGGTTGTTTTTGTCACACATTTCATTTCTCCCCAGCTGTACTCCCTACAAACAGAGAAGCTATTTTGCTTCCCCAATAATACTAGCTTGTCTTGTTGGATTTCTTCTAAGCTAGATTTGGGCATTTTTAAACCAGAAGCTAGGAAAGGTGTCTCCAACGCCCAAGGTAATACTTGTATGCTCTGCTGCTCACGAGTTTACACTGCACATTCATGCCTCTCTGGCAGGAGTCTGGCACAGGTGTAGTGCAGCAACTGTGTGCTCCTCAAGAGATGAATAACTCCTCCAGAGGGTTTGAGCACATTTGTAGGACAGCGGGAGAGGAAGGTGTACAAAAACCAACTGACTACACTGAAAAAGAGCTCAAAAGCTTAACTGCAAACTTTTTTCCTAAATACTGATCTAAACTATACAGACAACAAGTGCTCATTTTCTCAAAATATCTCCAACCTTATTAACAATCAGGCTCTTTTTTTTTTTTTTAAAGGAGGTTGGTGAGACTTAAGGTTGTTCAAGACATACTTTGATCTGCACCCTGATGAGTGAACATTCCCCTTTGCTGCTAGCCCAACTAATGAAGGGATAAAATTAGCTTTTATCCCTGGCACTTTCTTTAGCAAAAAAACATGCACTAATCAGGTGTCCTCACTAATCAGTCGTCTGGCTAATGACCTTTTGCCTTAAAACACTAAAATTTCTGAATGATGTTAAAAAAAAGGAAAACCAATGCAGACTGCTCTCTCTTTGTGGGTCTTAAGCCCATCATCTGGAATTGGAGACTGAAAGGTTAAATGGCAAATCTGTATCCTGACTGGGTGATAAATCTATAATCAAAAGGCACAAGCCTTGACACCTCAAGATGTACTTCATTACTACACAACTAAATGATCTTTATTCTCTTTTTTTTGTAAACTAGAAACAGATGAAAAAAAAAAATTGCTTAACTCCTTCATACTTTGCCTGTGGAGAAATCCACTCCACATCTGTGTTCAAGTGTCAGTTAATTTCTTACTTTTTTATTAATGCCTGAGTGAGAATTCAGAAGTTGAAACCATTTGCCTTTCTTCCTCCCCCTTACAACTTCAGGGAACTATAGCTGGGAAAGAAAATTGCAAAAACACTCCATCAAGCCTGCATTCTCGAACACACTTTTGAATGTCTAAAAAAAACCCTCCAACACAAAACAAAAAGTCCCAAAGCACAAAAATAAGCCTTCCAATTCGCCAAATTCTCTGTGTACAGGGAACAGTCCTTCTTCCTCTCAATAACATACTTTAACATTGTTTTAAAAGAGGGATTTTTAAGGCCTGTTTCATTTTCATTCTCTGCTTGCTATAATGAGGCCCATTTTTCTTCATGTTTTAAGGAGGTGGAGCAAAACACAACCCTGGATGGCTGAGGAGGATTAGCAACAGATGAGATGTCCTGTGGAAGTCACTTTGCAGAGGCCTGCAGTAATTTCTACCTGCAGTGCAACTGCACCCTGTTTTTTAACTTCAGGAAAAAAAGAGATTGCATTTACCACTCCCTCCAGATAAAGCAGCTCTCCCTGGGGACAATGCAAAGCGACAAAATCACAATAAATTTGACAGCCTTCCAACTTTGCATCCCCAAATAAGCCAGCAGTCAATACTCACGGTAATGAGGGTCCATGTAACCGTTCCGGGGGTCCATGGTAAAGAGCGTCCCACGGTAGGGTACAGAAGGTTCGGGAAGGTGCGATATAGATCCATGGATCTCCTTCTTGATTAATGAGGCCCTTTCCTCACTCGACGTGGAAGGCTCTTCACTGATCTTGCCGAGGCCTTGCCCACCCTGCGGCTGCATTGTGATCGCGTTCCTTCTCTCTCTGTGATAGGTCTGCCCAGGACTTTCATCCTCTGCAAAAAAAACGAGGGAGAAGAAAGAGAGAAGGGAAGAAAAAAGAGAGACACACACTTTTAGCCCATTTATAGCAAATACAATAAAGAAAAGTTCTCCCCCCGCTGCCCTCCTCCTCCTGCCGGTGTAAGTTTGTGACAGGAGGTGCCTGTGTGGCTGTGAGGGATGGCCTGGGGACACTTGCCCGCTCAGAGCCGGCAGCAGCCAGGCAGTAGATCACCATCACCCATGCACTGATGCTCCCGGCAGCGGGGCTATCAATTGTGTGGGAACAGACAGAGGCTTGCTGTTTCCCTGCCTCTGGGACAAGGAGACTGGGAGCTCCCTGATAGGGAGTCAAGAAATGATTTGTCGCACAGAGGAGAAGATGAACCCCACCAGCTGGGCCTAAATCACACCCAGCCACCCACCACAGCTCTGCAGCCCAGCTCTGGGTCTCTGGGGTTTGCCTGTGTGAGGGACTGAAACCTTGCAGGGAGGTTGGCAGTGATCAGAACCAAGGCGGGCAACAGTAAAATGGGTACAGCCGCTCCAGATACAGGACCAGCAGCATCAGGCAGGCACAAGCAAGGCCACCTGCTCTGACGGTGTCGCCACGTGTAGGATGGTTGCATATATTCCCCCTACCTCTTTTTTTTCCAAAATCCACATAAACATAGCCACAAACTCTTAATGAACAAGGGGAAAGAAAAGCGGGGGTAAAATAATAATAATTAAGATACTCAAACACAAGCCCTAGTTTGGAGTAAGCCTCCAGGCCTGTGGTACCACTTGTAAGGGGACAAGAGCCTCCAGACCATGGCTCTACCAGCCTTCCTTGCAGACTGCTCTAGGACTAGGTGCTAAAACAACCCACCACTCCCACAGGAATTTTAACCCCTAGGGACTACATACACCCTTTAAAAAGCAGACAAAATGGTTCTGTTACTCAAAATCAAGATGAATGCTCCTAGGTATATTTCACACATGCCATGTAGCAGAGTGGCTTTGCTGATATATAAGTCTCTAAGGTAAATGCTCTCTCAGTTGCATTATTGGTTTAAAATATAGATATTTCTCTAAACAAGCATGTTTGCTTGCTGGCTGTAATCCTTGGCCAATACCAATGCTTCAGGTACAGCCTTGCTCCATCAACCACACTGCACATGCAAGTGTGCACCGATACATCTTGAAGGAATACTGATAAAGGTTCTTCAAAGTTGCTCTGCAGTTCTAGAAGTACAGAAGGAGTCTCAAATTATTAAATGCTGGGCACAAAAATGGTAACAAGAAAAGGAAATTAAAACACCCTTAGGAAATAAAGCTAAAGTGCTCTTACTCTACAATCCACATGCATGGAACAATGATTGACACCAGTGCCAAGACTGCACTTCAGTTGTCAGAGATTTGAGGTCAGGGCTAAGTTTTTACTTGTACCTTTCCCTGGTTTACTTGTTCACACAGCAAAAGCAGCAGCCAGCCACTCACCAGGTGACTACATTCAGCAAGCCTGACACCAGGCTAACTCAACCTATGTGCCTTTATATTAATTAGATTAGAAACAAGCCCTGTACATACAGATACCTGGCCATTATATGTGTAAACTAGCCACACCGTTGCTTTGAATGAAATGCTAACCAGTTTTTTCTCTGCCTCCTCTCCCCTCAAGTAGCAACAACACAAAAACTCAGCAGCATTGCCTATTGAGCACTTAATTATTTTTCTATCTCCAAGTATCACAGCAACCAGGGTTTGCTGACTTATCAGCATCTTCCAGGGGCAGAATTCCTTTACAGACAGTAATTCTACATGCAGAGCTTTTCCATGGTTGGGTCTGGGAAGAAAGAGTTAATGGAAATAGACAACAACATTACAGAGTTTAAACCCTTTGCCCTTTTCTACTTTTTATTAATATGCACAAGCATTGGTCCCTGCTCTGGATTAGCAGGGTTTAAGGTTTCAACTTTTTACACTGAAGCTGGTTTTAGTTAGAGACCTGCAAATCAGGGACTAAAACTTTAAAATTTATATGAGGTTTTCAGAAACCCGCTTGTATAACTAAAAAAAAAAAAAAAATATCACCCGAAATATATATTTTCCATCAGGTTTCTCTTTAGCCAGTCTTTTATGTTAAATTTCAACCTAGAGTGAACTTTCACTGATGAGATGTAAACTCCTATAAAAACAGGGTATTACACTTCATTTGAAATTCTGACAGACTCTTAAGTAGAGCAAGCTAACCAGTGCTACAACAGTTCAGAAAGAAGAAAGCTAGAGTGATTTGTGGGGCTGTATAATCACTCAGATGATCAGATAGGATTTCAGTTCTTTTACTCTTCCATATAAAGATAATAATTGTTAAAACTGCCATCCTGGGATACAACAAGAAGCTGACATCTGTGTGCAGGCTCCACTTTTATACTTTTCTTCTCAAAACATGCACACATCATGAATCAAGGTACTAGTGTTATGGAAAAGGCTGATTTTTCAAATTGTTGAATGAAATTCAAAACCTATCTTCAGTAATTTAGAAACTAAAGGGAAAATATGGTTTGTTTTATTAAGCTTTTCCCTTCTTTGGTTACTTGAGAAAAAAAAGAAAACAAAACTATTTTTCCTTCTGCATCAATGATCTCTCTCCCCATTATAAAGTTACTGTCATGTGCCATTACAAGTCAAAAGTTTCTGTATGTTTTCTGCCACACAAAAACTGTCCCAGAACTATTTAACTAAACACGATGGAATTTTTGCAATAATAATAAGGCTTATTCATCAGCCAAACAGCTCGCTAAGCATTGACTTCACACCACTGGGCTGCTTTGTGACAGGGGCCAGATGAGAAATTTGACAGCACCCACACTCCAGGATGCTAAGAGCCAAGCAGTTTGCAGGAGCTCCCCCGGCGCCGAGCGAGAAACTCCTCTTGCAGAAATGCTGCCGACTGTCACGGCAGGCGAGCCACTCCAGTGCGCCAAAAGGGGAAAGCTGTCTAATCTTGTTCTGGTTCAACTGAAGCTTTCAATAAAGTTTCAAGAGTAAGTGCGGGCAAGGCGCGCCAGGCCAAATTATTGACAGAAACACACTGTCCACCATGGCAACAAGTGGGATTCTAAAGCAAAAATGTAAGCAAATAGCCCACTTCTCCAGCAGCATCTGCCAAAGGGGTTTTACAGCCAAATAAGTGAGCACTGTTCTGTTACTGCTCTGCTCACATTTTAGAAGTGACCAGCTTTAGGGTCAAAAGAAACATTTGATTTATTAAAATGTTGCAGAGACACAAATGCCAAAGCGAAAGATGAAGCTGGTGGCAGCCCACCAACTCTAGTATAATTCCTCCCACCTTTTGCCAGTGTAAGAGTGAAGGGTTAAATAAGAAAAGAAAAAAGCAATCATGGCCAAGAGCAATCTGCATAAGCTTCTCTTTCTTCACATACACCCTTTCTCTGACTTAACAAGCCAATAGCCAGAGACGCATGTTAGAAGTGCCCAGTCTTGAATGATAGCTTTAATCCAGGATTCTCACATCCACTGAGAAATACCTGATTTAGTTCTGCTATTATGATCAGAAGCCAATTTTATTAGAAGTGCTAAGCACCTCACTTAATGGAGCACCTCTCAATCAGAAAGTTTTCTCAAAAAACTCACACTGGACAGCATGCCTGAATAAACACACTTTTAATTGCATAGCTAATTTACTCAGGAAGTTAAAAAAAAATCAGCACAAGCCAATACCTAACGCAAAACTCCTTTAAACTTTCTTTACCTGTTGAACTTTTTTGCCTTTTTTTACTATGGACCAAGACAAAGTAGAAGCTATTTTGCTTTAAACCACTTTAAGTGAGCAACTGAAAAAAAAGTTGAAATCTATTGATAGAGCACACTTAAAAGTAAATCTCAACGCACTTCAGAGACACCCTGCTTAAACAAAACAACACCAGCCCAGTTAGATCTCTTAATATATTAAGTTTCATCACCATATTTCTGCTTGCAACTTCCAGACAGCATTGCTATCTCATGAGAGATCTCACAGCACTTCAGCTGAGTAAGAGAAAAAACAAGGTACTTACAACTCAGTCCAAGAGACCCTGCCTGACGTTCCCTCTAAGCTCTTCTCTTGACCAAAATCCTCTGGCTACCAGGACATGGGCATTCCTCCCTCTTTTCCTCCCTCTCCCTTCTCCCCCCCCCCCCCCCCCCCCCCCCCCCGCCCCCATCTCCCTCCCTCTCTCTCAAAGGCAGTGCTTCTCCCATTAGAGGAATTAAAAGTGGTTGGTGCCATGCTAAATTTAACAAGCTCATTAGTATTCTTCCTGTGTGCTTCCTAGTGAACTCTCCCTATTCAAGCAGCTCTCTCTAGCTGAGGGGTCAGGCGGCTAATCATTAAATCAAACTAATGTCACCCTATCACAATCAGCCTAAGAGAAGGACGGTTTATTATTTCAGTTTATGCTAAATAAACGGTTTTACAAATGGTCTCCAAGCAAGGTCAACAGCAGCTTCAATTACAAGACAAACTTAACAAGAGTTGCTATAAACCAAGTGCTCCATATTGACCTAAGCACAAGCTCGGCTCTGCATATTGCCACTAGCAGGATTGTACAGGAATGCATATTGTAAAATAAAGGAAAGGGTAATCTTTTCTTTGCCAGAATTTGTGACTGCACAGAGACTGCTCATTCACCTCTCCCCAACCAGATTGCTGCTCAGCTCAATTCACCCCACACAAAGGCTGAAGACCAGACCTCAATGGACCGAGTGAAACATGTTCAAAACTAGGCTCTCTATTGTGACTGAATTTCTTAACATCTTTTCAAAAAGCGGAGAATGCCTTGAGGCTAAAGGAAGAAACAGGCTAATGGTGAATTGGGAATACTGAGCAAATTTCAGAGCCCTTTCCTCCTAGCTTTTGAGGTTGAAAGCAAGCTCTTTCCTTTCAAGTTTCAAAGTCCTTTTTCCTCCCGCAGTGTCACAGAAGGATTTGAAAAGAAGGTAATTGTGCTCACAGTCCCCCTGATCAGAG